CAGAACTCTCGGGTTTGAAACACCATTCAAATAAATCTTGCAACAAAAACACAGAATACATAAATACATAATATACTATTCACATTTATTCATGCACTCTGTAAACTATCAATCCAAACTGTGAGAGAACTAGTGTCATATTATATTGCATTTAAGGCATTTAGTACTTTTTTTCCCAGTAAAATGTTGTCCTTAGAATTAACCAATAACTACATAACAGCCCATCATTTTCTGCTGTACTATTAATGTACACAACCATTTAAAAGTTTCAAAGTTTTTTTTTTTAATTCTGCAAAGGTCCATTAAATTGATCAAAAGTGACAGAAAAAACACCTAACATTACAAAATATTTATATTCCAAAGAAATGCTGTTCTTTTCAACTATTCATCAGATAACCCTGAAAAATGTGTCAAGGTTCCACAAAAATATTAAGCAGCACAGCTGTTTTCAATATTGAAAATAAGAAATATTCCTTGATCAACAAAACAGTATATTAGAATGATTTCTGAAGGATCATGTGACACTGAAGACTGGAGTAATGATGCTGAAAAATTAAGCTTTGCCGTCACAAGAATAAATTACATTTTAAAATATATTCAAATAATATTTTAAGCTGTAATATTTCACAAATTACTGTTTTTTATACACACATATATGCATTGGTTTTTTTGTAACAGGTATAATGACCCATGGCACCAAAAGTTTGGGATTGCTGTAACATGTATACTTAGGCTAAGGCCATCTCTGTCACAGCTGGAACCTCAGTTGCACAACCACTATTTGTGCTGCTCTCTGCTGAGATTGATAGATAATAGCTTGTTTTTCTCTAACAGCACCAGCATGGTATAGAAATCTTTGGAGAAGCTTTATTTTATCTCTTTTGTCCTTTTGCCCAGCGACTCACTGTCAAAAACCAGGTGATTATAGAATCTGGAAACCCCTTTCTATTGGACACTTAAACAGGGCTAAAGAACTTTTCTATTATCCTTCCTACTGTCGGGAATCAAGGCCATCAGGGTTCTCACATAAGTGTTAGCAAACAGTGTTCACCCTGAACCCAGTCTCCTCTCCTAACAAGCCTGTGTCATGCTGAGAAAGGACATGTACTTTGAGAGTCCACAACTTCAAATAGGGACAAATGTAATGAGCCTGCAAAAACATATTTTCCCTTTTTTGCATATACTCATAATTTCAACCAGATACACAATTACACAGTGGTACCTTATCGAGGGAAAGCAATCAATAATGTTTTATTGATTTTGAAGTGCTCACAACACTAAAAAGCTTCAATATCACATCAGTTGAAAATTTGACTTCTTAACCTTTCTTTCTTTACTATGTCTGCTATGTTTACTATGAGAATAAGGTATGTACTTCTCAGGCTGTGGAAAGCACCTGAAAGATACTAACACAGCCAAGAATGGTTTAAAATGAGCAGGAAGCAGCTTGTCACTCATTGGTATCCATTCACACCCACACACAAACACTACCGCCTTAAGGACATGTCAAACTGTAGTTTGTACCAACTTGAACAGATTTCTCTAGTACTTGCCCACTATGTTTAGAAGAAATCACTTTGCATGCTCCAGGAACTAAGCTTGAATATTTTTTATAAAGCCTTTGTAAATAATCCTACAAATTAGTAACCTGCCTAATAACACAAACAACATGAAATATTAATAAACATAATAATGTAATTATAAAACGTTAATTTGAACTACATTAATATAACTAGATCTGTTAAAACCAGATCTGGAAAGATGAACTAGATAAATTTGCAGACTATTACAGGAAATAAACGGTTCTTACCTGTTTTCTTTCCTCTAAACCTTCCAAATCACAGTAAAGAGCTTCATTCGCGAACACACAACCCAAGCCACACCAGCGTATCAGTTGAACAAGTTGATCAATCCTGTCTTTCCAACACATCACCTTCTCAATTGAGTCTTTGTAGCATAAACTGTAAGAGATCCTAAATTTTGTGACAGATACGAAGTGCAAAATTCTCTTTTGCCATTCGGCTGACCCCAAAACACTGACCCTGTCCAACATGTGTGGACTCAAACAGCTGTATCAATACACAGGGAACGGCGTAACACCACTCTCACTCTCTCAACTGTCTCTCACTGAACACTATAACGTTTGCTGAGGTTTTTGTCATAAGCTCTTCTATTAACACCCTCAAGGTTACTGTGAAATCATTTGTAAGGGCTATGATGCACAGGCTGCTCTGGGAATTCAGTAGAATTCCCACACAAAATGAAATTGCAAGTAAAGCAATCAAACAAACAAACCTAAAACCTGTGTGACAACTTTCTGTTCCAACAAGAAATCAAACCATGTGAAAGCAAATTCATGGTGTTCACAGGATGTCATTGTAAAAACTTATTTTGTTACATTTTGCTATCCTTTTATAATACTAGCTCCACCAAAGCATGTTCTTTTTACCCAGTTACAAAAATGATTTTAGATTCAATCCATTTTTACTACTATCAATTTGTACTACAATGTGATTAATATGCAGTAGTCTGATTTCACACAGGTATAAAAAACTCTTTTTTTTTTTTAATCAGTTCTTCTGGAAATAAATTCAAACAAAGTCAAGGTACCAGACTGATAAGACATAATTAAATAATATGAAATAATCACTGGATTTGTCACAGGTTAACAACATCAACACTTTGAAAGCTGTTTAGAGGTGTTTTGTTTGTTTGTTTTTGTTAGTTTTTTAGGTATACCAGGAAAACTAGATTTCCATGGTTTATTCTGCTAATTATGTAAATGAAATAGTCTACATTTTGTCTGTACTTTATTCTCAGTCATTAATCTCTTATTCTGAGTCTTATAGTTTAGACTGCTTTTCTGTGTTTTCTGTACAAATCATTTGCAGACACTGCCATGCCATTAGTTAAACGGACAGTTCTTGGCTAGAATAAGCTGCAGTATGGACTGTCAAAGGTCTACCCTAGACAAAACCTGACCCACAAACACAGACTGCACACACAGGTGGATACTGATGTTCAAGAGGCCAGACCTTGCCAATGCATGTCTATGTGGCTTAAAAGAATGATGTTCTTATAACAGGACAGTGTGAAACAGTTCTCAATATGGGAGTGCAACCCAACCAAAAACAACAGCTTTAAGTATTGAATGTCACCAAACTTCTTTTTTAAAAATAGGCCAAGAAATTAATTCACTGACCCAACGTAGTAAACTTTAGATTCTTTTTCACACTGAGAGCTCACATACTTTCCTTTCTCGAGTGCCACAGAAACACCATTCTGTGGCTCAGTTTAATACCCTGCTGTATTCTCTGGAGCTCCATTACGATTCTAAGGCGCTTTGACACTCAGAACTTGGCATTTAAAAGTGCTTTCTCCTCACCACTGAGGCCAAATAAGAAGCTATATCAAAAGCCCTGTCCAGTCACAAATGAGTACAGACAGTTACTGGCTGACACACAGATACAAGTGAATCTGATAACACTGTCACCAAATATCGCTGCTGAAAAGATTATGTTCATTAATAGAAAAGGTATTGTGCCATGTGTACTGATGTGAATGAATCTTTAGTTTAGTGAGTTTATTAAGTTCTGAAATTAATGGAATCTATTTAAGGTGTTCACTGAGACACAAATTATGACTTTGTTAAGAACTGGTCAATGACATATAAGAGTGTCCATAAAGAAAAGGAAACATCTTTTAAAAATCTTTTAAAAATCAACTTAAAACACAAGTGCCAAGTCATGTTAAAAACCTTTAAAAAAGTAAGCTATTTTTAAGAAAAGTTTCAATTCCATTGAATTAATTCTATAACAAAAGTAATATTTTCCTTACACTTTGAACGTACACATCTAAGTTATTATTTCTAAAAGTAAAAAAGTATGCCTTTTTTTTCCCTTCAAAAATCATGGCTTATTAATAAATAAATATCAAAATAAATTGTATTATTATTTAAAAATGTTGTAAATTATTTAAGAAATGTTCTAAGAAAGTATAATAAAAGATGCCAAACTACTTTTCAAGAATTTCACTTTTTTTCAAATATCACAGCTTATTAATGAATAAATATCATGATAAAATATATAATTTAAAAAATGTTAAAATATATATATTTTTCTAAGACATTAGAATAAAATATGCCAAATTTATTTTCAAGAATTGCAGAGGTGTTTCAGAATTTAGTTTTGTCACCCTGGTATTTTTTTATTTAATTTAATTTTTTTTACGTTTTGCCCTTCAAAACAAAAATCAAGATGAATTTTAATTTAGAAATTTTAAACATGCTCATCCTGTAGTATGAAGTGCATTTTTACATATTTTTAAATAAATTAATATATGTGGACAAAAATGAGCATCATGTCATTAACCCGGCTGCTCTTTATAACATTTCATTGACATTTATTCAAACAAATCCAAAACAAAACCCACAGAACCAACAGTGGATCACATCCATTTCAAGATGACTCATAAAACTTGAAGCAGTTACAGTGCAGTACTGAAGTGGACCATATAATATGCGATAAAGAACGTCTCAATAACCTAGACGCATACTCACACCTGCAGAACTGCTGACACATAAAAACGCTTGCCACTTAGCAAAAGTAACACATCATCTTTGAACATCTCTGGCTGAAATGTGCCACAGAACAAAAATAAATAAATACAGCCACGGGCAGCATAGCAACAACATCCTGTTCAGCATGCCAAAAGTAGAGCTCACTATTGAGTGCAAGACATTCACAACTAACTCCAGACGCCGTTATCGATTAGTTGTAACACGTTTAATGATGAGGAACAGCAAGAACTGACATGCTTTTACCATGAAAGAAAGACCGTCACTTAAAGTCCTCACTGGCTCTAAGCCAACATGCATGAAAACAGCAGAATACAGCCAAAGGGTGAGCACATACTTATGCTAAATGAAAACACAAGCACACACAGACACCAACTCGCACCAGGTGAATCAGAACGAAACGACTGCAGTCTCTCTCTCTTACCAGATCATCCAGGACGGAGACAGGGAAATCAAACATGCACATCTTCACAGGCTGAGCCAGGGCTTTATGCAGGCTGAACAGAGATTTGGGCTCCATCTTACCCGATGGAGAGAGTGCAGGCTGCTGTCCAGGCGCCTGCTTCATATTAGGGGAATGCTGCTCCCCCTTGTCTGCTCTCTCATTGATACACAACTCTCTCTCTCTCACTCTCTCCCTTTCCAGAGTGAGTGCACAGGCGCGCTCTCTTTCGCACACAAAAACTACTCGCGTCTCTCTGTATTTCTCTTTACTAGTTATGCAGCACAAACAGGAACTTGCTGCAGCTGTCACTAACACTCTGCTGTCATCTACTTCTCTCGCATCAGGAGATGGTAAGAAATCTGAATGACTCGACCTCCTCCCAGCGCTTCCTTTTGCACATTGTCTCGCTCTCTAACAATCTCCTAACCATGTAAACACCCACACCCATACATGCGACGTAGGTATGCAGGTAGATCTTAGTTTAAAATGCAGCGTCTCTGCAGAACAGTGTCTCTCCCTCCCTCTTAAGGCATCACATTCGGTCCAAGGCTGTTGCTCACACTCCTGTTTTCCAGCTCACGAAGATAAAGATGAGTTTGGATGGGTGTTTTCTGCGTTCTGCTGTGCTTTTCCCCTGACGTGCCCCTTAGAGACCCTGTGTTTGTGTATCTGAGAGCGGTTCGGCAGTGGAAAAGTGCTTTCTGGCTCATGTGCTCTGTCCGTTTTGTTGGAGCAACAAAAAAAGTGCCTAGAGTGTGTTCTCGCTCGTGTGACCAGTCTGCCCAGTGACCTGTGCAGCTGGGAGTCTGGGTCTGGACCCTACAAACACACACACACACACACACACACACACACATATAAATGGCAGACATACACTCAGATCCATTAAAGAGTTGAAAAAAATTGCAATGCCCTATCATTAAATCTAGGTCACAAACAGCTGTCCTATACTAAAAACAGCCTTAACCATAACAGTATATAAGACATTTGTCTTGTACTCTATGCGAGTTAAGGGATGTGCACAAATGTAAATGCTGGAATCATTTGTATAATGCTGTCATGCAACAGGATAAAAAAGTATAAATACCAATACGGTTCGGTACTGAAGGGTTGCATGTGATGATTATCTAACAGCAGCATAGTTGAGGACCACGGGGAGGTGGCACTCTATTATGAAAGCACAGACTGTGGGAACTGTTTTGAAATGCAGAGGATATCCTACGCAGCCATAGAGAGATGTGGTTGCCATGGAGACAGCAAACGCTCAACCTTTGAAAAGAGATGCCTAGAGGAACTGCAATAAAGTCCACAGAGACAACTGTATTTGCACAAGAGCACCATACCTCACCACAAAGACGTGTGCACAAAAGCAGTTTCTATATAAAATTCGTCTCAGATTTATGCACTTCAGTTGCATTCTGTAGTCTGTGCAGCACGTTAGAGTCTGGTGACATTTAGAATTCACATAGAATATGCACTAACATGTCTTGCCTACATTCACGTCATTCCATTCACGTCCAGACATGCAAGCTGTCTTGTGAACAACTTGGATGTTGAAACACTACCTCTCAGGTATGATGGTTTTAAGAGTTCAAACACAGACCAAGGAGATATAAAACATTTTCAAATGTTACAATACAACACTCAATTTTATACAATGTTTATATGTCTATAATATTTTATCTAAATACAAAATAAAAAACTGAAACTAATATCAATTGCATTATAATTAAACATTATAATTTACAGTATGAAAAATAGATACTCATTTTGAGATTTGCTAAAGATTATATTGTTAACAGAATATTTGGAGTATTAGCATTTAAAAAAAAAAAAAAACTTGTGATAGATGACAGTAAAGGTAATCTAAATGTAAAATAGGGGAAATGAGCATGAACAATTAAATGTCTGTTTAAATGTTTAGGGTCAGTAATATTTTGAAAGAAAAAAAATATTCAGCATGGATGCAATAAATACTGTTCGTTTGAACTTTATAGTCATCAAAGAATCCTGATCAGCTGTTTTCAACATTGATGATATTTAGAAATGTTTCTTATGCACCAAATCAGAATGATTTCTGAAGGATGCGACACTGACGACTGTAGTAATGGCTGCTGAAAATAAATAACATTTTTAATATATATTTTAAAATCAAAAACATAATTTTAAATTGTAATAACATTGTTTTTATTGTGTTTTTGATCAAATAAATGCAGTCTTGGTGAACATAAAAGGCTTTTTTAAAAAAAAAAATAGTTTCCCCTGTCAAGGACCCCTGCTATTATAAACACTCCCTAACTAGTAAGAACTGTGTGTTGTAGAATGAGAAGTAATAGAAAGGCAGGGAAGGAAGCACAGCTTCTGTCTGAACACACAGAGATCCAACTCCATACAAAGACAGGACAGGATGGTGTTGGAGAGGTACTGTTGGAGCTGTTCACTTTAATGTTCCACTCGGCCTCAGGACACTGGCAATGGAACCATGAAGAAACGTTACACGTTGATGGGAAACTTCTCTCTCGAGATAAAAATTTCCAAGGGCTATACCTCAACAACCACATGTTGAAGCAGACTATTTTAACAGCATGAATACAGCTGCTGTGCTGTTAGGAATGATTCTATTAAAATATATATCATTTCTAGACATTCAAAATGTTATTAGTCACAAGTCTTGCAATATGAATCTGTTATATAGCATTAAAGTAATATATGTCAACGGCAATAGCTTTAACTATTAGACCTCTAACTGGAAGACCAATGGTGACAGATACACAACCTATTGCCAAAGAGGATACCACAAAAATTCTGCATCCTCTTTATTGTGTAATGACACATCGATTATAACATGCTGTAAACATTTGTCTGCACATTCTTAAAAGCTTTTCCTTTGTTTATAACATCAGTTAAACAATGCTGAGTCCCCCTTTTCCTGACACAGAACATTTTCCTTTTGCCAGTTAACATATCACTACAGAACTCAGAGAAAGAAACAAAGAATGAAATGTGACTTATTCTTCCAAATCAATAATTTGATGGTAAAATGCCTGAAAAGAAATTGTTAATACGCCTCCTGCTGGGGACTCAAAGAATCCAAAGAATCAAAGTTTGGCTTGTTTGCGTGTTAGTCCCTGTTAGCAGGGATGGGCAGTATTTCAGATAGCCTACATGTATTTAAAATACGTATTTGAATTACAAAATACTATTTTGTATTTTGTATTTTAAAGCCTTCGGCTGGGTGAGTGACTTTTCTGGAATAAGATAAAGTGAGGATGCCATGGTCAATTGTACATGTTGATTAAAGTTAAAATAGTGCTTCATTCAGATTTGCCGTCAGTTAACATGAAAGAATAAAAGAGCACTGACAAGGGGAAAAATGTTTTCAACTTCCAAATAGGTGTCCAGTGATTGATAGATAAATATTTGATTTCTGAATATTGTACCCTAATTGAAGTAGCTGTTTAAATAGGATCATGATTTTACATACCATTGCATGAATGACTGCCTGACACATAATATATTATTATATTTATGACTAACGATCAAATGATTAAGTAGTTAGAAACTAGTTGCTATGAATACAGGTGCCATCAGTTGTCTTCTTATGAATGACTTGTTTGTCATTGAGTCAGTGCTGCTGATGCAAAGTAGGCCCTTTGTTACCAAACACCATGTAACTAAATTAGGATACAATTATGAGTCATTCGCAAACTGTTAAACATTAAACTGTTGGTTACTTTAAAACTAACCTTCATCTGGGAAATCACAGGGATATGTGAATATTTGATCTGTTAACTGGTTGCATATGTCAGATTTATTGCATGACTCGGGCAGAGAAAAGCTGTTGCTATCAAACATTGTTCACAAACATCAGTGTATTGGTGAAGAGATATATCATATAGGCCAATTGATGGAAGGTTTGTGAAGAAATTTCATGCTCCCTTGTAAAAGTATTTTTTAGTATTTTTAAAATACAAAAATACAGTAGTTTATTTTGATACTTGGTGTGGCTGCTGTATTTTGTAGTTTATTTTGATACACTTAAAATTAAGGTATTTGTATTTTATTTTAAAATACATTTTGATGTATCTTTGCCCAACCCTGCCTGTTAGTCCCTGCCGGTAGATGCTGTAACTACATCATCTGGCTTAAAAGAGCATTGATGTTATATATACAGCTAATATTTTACTATATTATAGTAAATGTTTTATCAGTGTCCGAATCTGGCTAATAGGGTTCTTAAAATCATGAAATGGCTTTTTTTCTCTGTATTTTTTTCATGTTGCTAGTAAATTTAATAATTAGTTAATAAAAAAAATATTAATTTATTTTAAACTTAAGGGGGTTAATCAATGTATTTAGAGAGTTTTAGGGCATTCCTTTTTTTTCAGTTTCTTTAAAGATTAAAATAAAAATTTCAAATCATTTTTAAATGACACAAAACTTGGATTTAACAAATCTGTGTAAATAAAGTCTTAAGCAACTGTCTTTAAGATGAATGGGAATGCTAACAGATAAGAGACCTCCTGGCCCAAGCCTGTAAACATGTCCTTGTTTTGTTTTATAAATATTGTCCCTAATAATAACACATAATTTATCCTGCTATGCAGGTATTCTAGAAAATTAATTAATTAATAATTAATTAATAAGTAAGTTAGGGGAGACCGGGGGAAATTGTAACATTTTTTTTTACATTTTCCTTAATAAATCACAGACTACTTGAAATACACTAGTCATATTTTTATACAAGAAAGAAATATAGGTGCACTAATTAATAAAACAATTGATATATTTTCACTAATAAGGACAATACTATAATATTAAACTAAATGCAAGAAGTCAAGAGTGTTACAATTGCCCCCTTGGTGGGGGCGATTGTAACAGTTTTTGGGGGCAATTGTAACACTGAAATATAAGTCCAATTAACCCAATGTATCTCAAATAAAAGCCTACCTCAAAGTAATCACTTTACTGCTGTAGTATTTAATAACATTAAAGGCAGAGTAAGTGATTTCTGGTAGCCAATGTTGATATTATTTTTTTTTGTATATGATTCAACTTCTTTTAGATGTCTGGCATCATATGCATTCAAAAAGCAAAAGTCTATTTCAATTTTTGCAGAAGACAAGGCAACTATTCTAGTGGGAACTAGATTTTAATTATTTAAATATATATTTTATTGAAATATTTATCAGCTGATGAGTCAAGAACAGTCTTTAACCAAACTACAAAATATTGACATATTAACAATAACAATGTGATCATGTGGAGATAACATTCGTTGTATTTTTATAAAGATTTAAAAGCTACACTGTTTAATGTGTAACACAAATAATTTCCGTAAACAATGACATAATGATTTGCCATACTTAATTAAGCTGCATGTTAAACTCTAGTCTGATTCACAGTTGTGGCACATGTATGTCACTGCCGTCAGTGCAGGCCAAGTGTGCCCAGGAATGGCAAGACACACAAGACAGCCAGACCTCCTTCGATTTTGAATAGCTCTCCAGGCAGACAATGCAGAATTCTTCCTCTTCTTCACTTTCCTCAACATTTTCTTTTGTACTCTTCTTTCTTTTCCTCTTTTTTTCCTTTTCTGCAGAGACCTTTTGCTTTACTTTAGAGGAAGATGTTTTGTTCTGCTTCTCTGGTGAATTACATTCTTCCTCCACAGTCTTATCCTCATTTTCTTTTGTGTACTTCTTTCCTTTCTTTACCATTTTCTCCTTTGTTGCAAAGATCTTTCATTTTACTTTGGAGACGGGTGCCTTCTCCTGCTCTTCCTCAAAGGAATTCCTGACAGGTGTGTCTGTAAAAATTTCAGTCGTTCTCCTTTTTCTGGTCTTAGTTGTCTTTCGGGGCCCTGCTTTTGGGAATGGCCTCACCAAGATAGGCAAAAAATCCTCAATGATCAAGGAAGATGTTCCAGCAGCAGGCATGGTGGAGGCAAAGGAACTTGGCCTAGGGATAGGCACAGTGGAAGTGGTGGAGAAAGGCCCAATTGTAGGTACATTTAAGGCGATGTAGGGTGTCCCAGAGATGGATGCAGTGGCACGAACGGTGGAGGCGAAGGAAGGGGATGCAGTGGCAGGCACGGAGGAGATGATGGAAGGTGGTGCAGTGGCCACGGTGGAGGCGAAGGAAGGTGATGCAGTGGCAGGCACGGAGGAGATGGAGAAATGCCTATCCCCAGACACGGTGGAGGCGAAGGAAGGTGATGCAGTGGCAGGCACGGAGGAGATGGAGAAATGCCTATCCCCAGACACGGTGGAGGCGAAGGAAGGTGATGCAGTGGCAGGCACGGAGGAGATGGAGAACTG